AAATGTAATTGTGTTGTATACCTAAAATGTACCAATAAAAGAATTAAAAAAAAAAAAAAAAAGAAAAAGAATTTCAGGGATGATATAATGCCAGTATTTCTAAATCTCTTTAATGAAATTGAAAGGGAAGGAGTACTTCTAAATTCATTCTTAGAAGCTAGCATTACCTTGATTCCAATACCAGACAAAGAGTCACCTGAGGGCCAGAGATTTAGCTCAGTGGTTCCAGCACCTGCCTCGCAAGCACAAAGTCCTGAATTCGATCTCCGGTACCAAAAATAAAAAAAAGATTCAACTAAAAAAGAAAACTACAGACCAATACAATATATTTAATGAACATAAGACACAAAAATCTTCAACAAGATACTGGCAAACAGAATACAACAAATCCTCAAAAGATTATATATCATGGCCAAGTAGGCTTCATCCCAGGGATGCAAGGGTGGCTCAACATACACAAATAAATGTAATACACAACAAAAATAGAAGCAAGGATAAAAATCACAGTATCACCTCAATAGATGCAGAAAAGCCTTTGACAAAATCCAATATTCATTCATGATAAAAAGAACCCAACAGAAATAAGTACAGAAGACCTTATCTCAATATGATAAAAGTCATTTATGACAAACACACTGCCAACATCTTATTAAGTATGAAAAAGCTGACAGCTTTCCCTCTAAAATCAAGAACAAGACAAGGATATCCACTATCAACACTCCTATTCAATATAGTACTTGAAACATTAGCCAGAGCAATCAGGTAAAAGAAATCAAAGGAATCAAAGGAATTAAATGATTTGTATAGGAAAGGAAGAGATCAAATTATTATTTGGAGATGACATTACCCTTTACACAGAAGACCCAAAAAAATCCATCAAAAGATTCCTAAAACAACCAAGTCCAGGAATATAGCAGGATACAAAGTCAGCACATAAAAATTGATAACATTCCCTTATACCAATAACGAACTCAACGAAAAAAAATTTTAGAAATAAAATACCATTCACAATAGCATCAAGAAAAATCAAATACTTAGGAATTCACCTCACCAAGGAAGTAAAAGACCTCTACAATGAAAGCAGAAGGCATCACCGTCCCAGATTTCAAGTTCTATTACAAAGCTACAGTGACAACAGCATGGTACTAGCACAAAAACAGACATGTGGGTCAATGGAATATAGGAGCAGAAACAACCCCAGGCACATTCACTCATATGATCTTTGACAAACTGGCAAAAAAACCATGCACTGGAGGAAAGACAGCCTTTTTAACAAATGGTGCCGAGAAAACCTGCTGTACACATGCATAAGACTGAATCTAGACCCATCTCTCTCACCATGTACTAAAATAAAATCAAACTGGATTCAAGACCTGGACATTAAAACAGAAACACTTCATCTGCTGTAAGATAAAACAGGTAAAAATCTTGAAGACATAGGCATAGATAAAGGTTTTCTGAATAGAACCCCAATTGCACATGAAATAATATCAGCAAATAGGATCATATCAAATTAAAAAGTTTCTGCACAGGAAAGGAAACAATCAATAGAGTGAAGGCACAAATTACAGAGTGGGGAAAACCTGTTGCCAACTATTCCTCTGATAGAAGACTAATATCTAGAATATATAAAGAACTCAAAAAAATTAAATCCCTCAAAATAAAAGACCCAATTAAAAAACGGGCAACTGAAATTAACAGATACTTCTCAAAAGTACACATGAATAAATACATAAAAAATGTTCAACATCACTGGCCATGACAGAAATTCAAATTAAAACAACACCAAGATTCCAACTTACTCCAGAAAGAATGGGTATTATCAGAAATCAAGTAATAACAAATGTTGGCAAGGCTGCAGGGAAAAAAGAACTGTTCTACACTACATTGAACAGGAGTGTTGATAGTGGATATCCTTGTCTTGTTCCTGATTTTAGAGTGAAAGCTGTCAGCTTTTTCGTATTTAATAAGATACTGGCAGTGTGTTTGTCATAAATCACTTTTATCATATTGAGATAAGGTCCTCTGTAATTATTTTCATCAGGTTTTTTTAGTCATGAATGAATATTGGATTTTGTCAAAGGCTTTTCTGCACCTATTGAGGTGATACTGTAATTTTTATCTTTGCTTCTTTTTTGTTGTGTATTACATTTATTTGTGTATGTTGAGCCACCCTTGCATCCCTGGATGAAGCCTTCTTGGCTATGATGTATAATCTTTTGAGGATTTGTTGTATTCTGTTTGCCAGTATCTTGTTGATCAATAGGTATAGCAAACATGTACTCATAAATACAAAAAATACAAAATTTAAATGCAGTCCTCTTGATTACTTGTATTCCTACCTTCTCTTTTATTTCACTGAACTTAGAGGTCCCTAGTAACTTATAGGTCGTGACGAGCTTATGCAGATTAAATACTAAAAGTATTTCTAGAAAAAACAAAACTGACCACTTTGAATTACTATACTTTTTTTTCATTCCTTTTGCCAAAAGAAATAACTTTTTTAATTATAACATAAAATTGAGAACTGTTACATAAAAAACTATAAATCCATAAATAAAGATTCCAGATAGCTGTTAAGGGATTAAGCAAACTCACTATGTTGAAAGAAGGCAAAAGGCTGCTAGCTGCTATCACCAGCAACACCCAGGGGCCTGGGAAGTGGCTGGAGAACCTAGCCTTACTTTTCATACCTCTCCTTCACTAACACATCACCAAGAGTAGCACAGTTACAGGTCACTTTCCCTGTGTATAACAAATGTTCCCTTGCAAACTTATAACCTCGCAGCAAAAAAAAGCAAGAGGTAGAAAATGTCCGTATAGAAAAAGGCTTTCCCCACTTGAACTCTACAAGAAGTTTCTTTTGCTAACTGTAGGCTCATGCCTTATCCTCACCCTACTGATTAGCATTAACATTTAAATCTCCCTTTTTAAAGACAAGTTATTAGTTATGTGAATACAGCATACATTTTAATAGGTAAAAAATCCAATACATTAATAAGGAAAGTTTGAAATACATTTGAGACAACTGCTACTGAGAACCGACTGTGCACACAACTGTACCCTGGGTTCACAGTGAACTTGTAAGTGCTGACATCAGCAACACCAGTTATCCACAGCCACCACTTCGTCTCAATGTCTGGGTACCTGTTCGGATGAGCTGACATCCTGGCCACACCTCTGAATGTTTTATATAGCCATCTGTCAGTATGAACCCTCAAAAAAACAGCACTTGCCTTCATTTTTCCACTGTATTTAGGATCCGAAAGTGTCTCAAAGGCTGCATCTTTGCTCTTCTGAACAAAGTCTGGGAATTTGGAAAATACTTGATCACATATCCTTTTGATAAGTGTTTCCTTGAGGGTAAAAGGAAAAGAAAAGAGATTTCAATTTAACAAATTTAAACCTGTATAAATCAAAACCACTTATTAAAAAATTCTATTTACAAAAACCATGTTACTTGGAAGATCTGGCCTTTTCTAAGTCAGATTAATAATTCAGAAAATCTTAAAGTGATATTAAATCTTAAAGTGTTAAACATAATTGGCACTGATGAATTTTTAATGACAAGGCTACTAGATTAATTACTTTTTCCAAGATTTCTAAAATAAGAAAGACAAATACTCCCAAAAGAGTAAAGACTACTATCAAAAATAATATTAAATTCTTACTAAATTTCATTTAAACAATATTGACTATATCACAAAAAATATAAAATCATTGCATAAAAAGCTTTTAAAAGATCTTTTTATTTAGGTTGTGGTCTAAATAAGACACAAAATTACCCAAGTAAATGACTATATCTAATCCTAAACTTTTAAATGACTGATTTTTTTCCAGTTTGGGAAACAGGTCTAATATTTAATATACAGATTATTTTAAAACCTCTTTTTAGCCAGATTAATGTAATTAGATACCTGCTTACTGAAATAAGACTATTAGGGAAAATAAACATGCAAATATTATTAGAGGCATATGAAGTTATTATTTTAAGCTTAAATTTTTTCAGTTTAAGAATATAACTCTACATATTCCTTAATATCTAAATTTTTATTTATTTATTTACTGGTGCTGGAGCTCAAACCTAGGACCTCCTCTATGACTAAGCTACATCCCCAGGGCTCTAAATTTTTAAATCAGCAAGTCAATTTTCTCTTAAATTTCACACCAAAAAACCTCAGAGATATTTAATTAAAAATTTTTATATCAAATATCAGTTATATACCACAAATAAATGTAGAAAGCCAACCCACACCTGTTGTCTGGAAGTGCTAGTGGCCTGCAGCAGTGCGACGTGGTTCGCTACCTTCTGAAGGACTGTAAGATAGCTGAGATACAAGGTTTTCACTGTTTCACCACGTGAATTAGTCTATAACCAGAAGAAAAGAACAAGAAAAGGCTATGTTATTGTTTTCATCAGAAAATATATCACTTATAATAATAATTATTATTTAGTTACTTTGAACCCAATAAATCCTAAGAAAATGATAGTCAACTATTTGCACAAAATATCATGAGTCACAAATGTGGAATCATTTTTGGTGAATCATAGGATAATGTTGTTTTTAATAAAAAGGAGAGAATGTCCTTGTTCTGGAATGTATTTATCCTGATGATGCACTGGGATGGAAATGCTCCCATTACAAGCTTCCTGGTAACAGGAAGCTATTCAGGGGCAGTGCTATACAGACCCCTTCTCTCTCCACTAGTTTTTCTAGGAAACTGGGCTATCACAAAAATGTTAAGTGCCTAAAACAATAAAATAAATGAGCTAAAATAAATGAGCTAAAATAAATATCTATTGGGTCCCTATATGTACATGTATATGTTACATGAACTAGGTAAAAAAAGAGCAGAAAATAGAGACAGAAAGTAGAAAACTATGAATGAATTTTGTTTCTAAACTTTTTTTACTCTGTTTATAACAGTTTATATCAAACTGACAGTATATATGTCAGAATATTTTAGCCTGCAATCAAAGAGTAGGTCATTTTACTACTAGTAGATAATGAGCAAATTCCTGAAAATGAAATTTCAAGATAAAAGTGTGGTACTTCCAAATAAAAGCTAAAAGAGAAGATATCAAATTGAAGTTTAATTTCTAAAAATGATTTTTAAAACTATATTTGACTACCAAATTAGTATGTGGTTACTATTTAACATTGTAAAAAAATTTTTTTAAATATTCTCTTTAGAAATTTATAGCTTTTAAAGTTAAAAAACTGAAGAAAAGTTATTTTATTATCTGCTACTTTGACAGCAGAGCAGAATATAATGTACCAAAAGCAAGATGGTAAAAATAAACTGAAATGCTTGCCTTATAACAACAGTTTCTCCTTTTCCGGCCACTGTTACAGGTACAAGGCTTAGAAGATTGAAGTATCAAAGTCACATCTTCTGCTTCTAACACTGTTTGATAGACAGCTTTCTGGAAATCCGTCAGAGAACAATAAACCATCTGGCAAGATAAAATATAAGGCAATCACTAGTACCATTTTTGTAGCAGTAAAAATAATAATCACAATGTACATTGGATTAATAGATTGTAATAGTGAAAATTATTCATAAACTATTTTTTCCTCTAGTTACATCATTATGATTTTTCTCAATTCTCTTATATGCTTTGCTTCCCACTTCATGCCAGACTATACAAATTATAATTTAATTTCCAAATAACCTTATATTTATTTTTGTTTTTAATTAAAAGGAAATATGAAAAAAGTTAATTACTTCCTTATTTCTCAATATGCTGTGGGTCTTCACAAGGTTCTATATATTAGTCCATCATGCAAATAAATGATTAAAATTTGAGACAAAAAATTGGATAAGGAAAAAGAGAATACTTCAGAATAATGGGATGAACAATAAATACTTACTGAAATAGTTGGAAAACAAAAAAATTAAAAACTCCCTATTATTGAAAACTAAAAACAGTTACTTATATTTAGTATCTTGCTATAAATTTCTAAGGTTAGTAAGGATAATGATTAATAAAATGTACATAAAAGCAAATACAGGTTGATATTTTATGTCCAAGTTCAAAAAAAAGAAGAAAATTTGATAGAACAATGCCACTAAATTATGACATAATCTAGCTTGTATTTTTCACAGTACTGTAAATTAGAAATACAACTATTTGTAACTAGAGACATCAAACTAAACATGCCCATGACAGGGCTTTGAAGAATATGAACAAGAAATAAAAGTCATCTATTTGTAAATATTTATTTGCCACTACAAAGAATATTATTGCAAAAAATGACAAATGTGCATTGAGCAAATCTGGGTATATCTAAAATGATACTAGATTTAAATATGTATATATAAAGTATACTATCTTGATCCTCAATAATGAATATAAATGTACACACAAGAACAAAAAGAAATAATGTAAGATGGTATCACTGATTAACGTAAGGAGGGGGTTTTGAGTTTTTATTGTTAAACAGTTTAACATGTACTAAACATCTCTCATGTATCATGAATTTCAGAGCAGGCAAGTGAGGCAGATCATTTCCATTTAAGAAGAAATTCATGTTTGACTGCCTCAGTAAACTGCTGCAAGTTACAAAACTTTTAAGGGGGGAACCAGGACTTAAGCTCATAGTATTTGATTTCAAAGCCCAAGTTTTAAAATTCTATGCACAATTCTCTTCACATATTTATATTTTTCTTGTTCCCATTAAATATTAACTATTTAATATACATACAACTATGCAGAATATTTTAAAAGTCTGGATTCATGAACTATCTCAATATAACATTTGCTTTAAATAAATACTAAATGTCATATATAATATCACCTTCTCCAACTTCCATATCATATCAATATCAAATCTATCTTTTTAAAGTAATAATCCATAGGACAGGGGCGGGGATTTAGCTCAGCGGTTCGGCTGCCTGATGCCTGACTCGCAGGCACAAAGACCTGAGGTTTGATCCCCGGCACTAAAAAAAAAAAAATAATCCATAGGATGTCCTACTTTAGAGGGCATCTGACAGGATTACTTTTATTTGAGACAATATTAATAAAGTTTACTTCACAGCAATTTATAGAACCATTATTCCACTGCATGAGCTAGAAAAATCACAAAATTTAAAACCAGGAAAAAAAGATTAGGAGTGCGGTTCAATGGTAGCACTTGCCTACTGTGCATGAGGCCCTGGGTTTGATCTCCATAAATAAATGAATTTTTAAAACTTAAAGAAGATTACTATATTTTTAAAAATTCTACTATAGTCAATCCAAATTTTCTTAAGCAATTAATCATTGTTTTTCCACAAATTCAAAAACTTAAGTTAGTTGTGTAATTGTATATATGACTGTACATAAAACAAATCTAGAAATCAAGCTCTTAACCACTTTGGTCGTGTAACTAGAATTAAGGCACCAAGGAATATAATGGGTTGTAGATGGCAGACCATATGAAAAGGACAAAATGTAAACAAAAAACACATTAGGGAGAGAACTTCTTCTTACTTCCTTGAAGAAGAATTGTGTCAAAAGCTTTAAGAAGTGAGTCTAGTGTATGCTGTTATGGTTTGGATCTTAAACGTACCCCAAAGGAACCATATGCCAAAGGCCTGGTCCCCAGCTTGTGGTACTACAGAACTTTTACTAGGTGAAGCCTCATAGAAACAAGGTCATTGAGAGCAAGCTTTTAAGGAAGATATTGGGAATCTGGCCCCTTCTGTCTCTTTTTGCTTCCTGGTTGCTATGAAATATGCAGCTTTGCTCCACCATGTGCTCCCTACTATAACACCCTGCCTACCGCAGGCCCAAAGTAACAGAGGCAAAGACCATATATTGACACTTCTTATACCACGAGCCAAATAAATCTTTCCTCCTTTTAAGTTGATTTAAATTGGCTCCACCCAAGCCAATGGGGTCAGTCCACAGCCAGACTGACTGGTCTCTGCCTCTCCGGGCGTGCCAGAGCAAACCAGCTCAGTCCATGGCCCTAAAAGATATTAATT